AGGTAAGTTACTTCTGAGATGAAGTGATAACAAACTATTATGCCTTATTTTGTACATACACTGTACATATGTCGTGATTTATTATTATGACAATCTTAGAGATGTTATGAATTATTTTATATATATATAATGTGTTTGTGTTCTAAGTGTTATTGCAGAGACAGTAAAAAATGTAATTTGGTTGTTAAGTAACAAAACCTGTAATGCAAAGGTTAATGTATGATTGAAGAAAGACTTTGCTAAATAAATTTAAGTAGCTGTGATTTCTAGTAGTTTTCCTGATTGCCTAGACTCCACAGCCGGTCAGCAGTCACTGAGGGCTGTAGTTAGGGGACTGTGATCGCATGCATACTCCAGTCATGGCACTTCCCTACAGACATGGGGTAGTTTTAAATCTTTGGTTTGAAGCTTTACTGTAAGCTTTCATGTTTAGATAGGCTTGGTACACATGTTCTCATTGTTGAGTTATAGTAGCTTCCCCATATGGAGTACAATCACTGGGCTGAGGTTTTGTAGTCTGAGAGTGATCAGCCTGACCGGATAGCCTAAGGTATGTGAATTCATTCTATAATGTTTGAATGATGGCAGAATTGCGTAATGACACATTTCTCATGTGACAAAAATGTCGTTAAATGATATGTGACTATATGTGTGAGCACCTGTATACATTCATTGAAATTCATGCATACACACACATGAGTTGATAAAAATCCATGTTATGAAAAAATGTGCATTGAAACTCATATTGAAGTGCAGCAGAATACATCCCCTTTTACATCAGATTTTAGGATGAACATACGGAAGTGCCTTCAAAGTTTGTTCTTAGGATCTTGATTCACAGTGCTTTTGCTATGTTCCTCTTGTCACCATCTGTACCTCCTGTCTGATTTTAATTTTGTAAACTCCCTGCTCTGGTGCCCTATCTCAGCATCATAAGCACAGGTGTGTTTTAAAAGTTAAAAAAAAAAGGAGAGAATAAAGATGGCGGAATAGGGTAAGAACATGTTTAAATAAACAAAAATATTAGCCAGTGTGAAGCAGAGAGGGCACATTCCAGGATATAGAAGAGAATAGAACAACAACAGAGGAGTACCTAGAGACTGATAGACACAGGAAAGCAGCAGACACAATGGTGTGGTGTTGTAGTGACTGATACCCCAGTAGCATTTGGCAAACGGCGATTTGAATTCCAGCAGCAGCTGGAACTCCATCAGCAACCAGGTGGGAATGGACATCTACTAGTAGCTCAGGCGGTGAACCCAGAAAAAGACTGCCTGTCCTGCTGGTCTGTTTGATTTGAACAGGAGCAGAGATAGAGCAGCAGGTCCCAGACAAACAGTGGGGGAACAGGGTTGAATTCACAATCCAGTCGGCCCCCTAGAACCATATTGATTGTCATTTTGTTTAAGGAGGCAAGGGTTATGGATAGTACTGTTCATGCACTGAGCTGAGAGTAAACTCATTGTTGGCTCAGTGAACTGCAACAACGTGGCATGCTTCAGGTTCCACCCAAGAAAGGTCCAGGTAGCCCTCAGACCTGACGGCCAGCAGATCAAGAAATAAGTGGTGGCACATCTGGTGCCATTTCACATGGTGTGGCAAAGAATTTAAGACTGCAGGAAACAACAGTGAGCTGCGTATGTGCTGAACTCAGCAAGACCTCTATGAGTTCAGTGCACTGGTCCCACAGGGAAATAATACTGACTACAACATCGTATGGGTCAAAATAGGTCTGTGTGGCCCTCAGACCTAATGACCAACATGTTATGGCAAGATCAGCACCACCAATGACCTAGCTATATAGGACACCTGGTATCTCCCTGATCCTGGGACCTGCTTCAATCAGAAGTGGGAGAAAGGTTGTAGAGAAAACAGTGCAAACTCAGCACGGTATCACAGGAGGTGGAGACTGGTGAGCCGGGAGCTGGGGCTGCGAAGACCATGGTGAAAAATTAACATAACATCCCAGACCTCACTGGAGGGAGTGGCACAACTGACTGCAAACAAAGAGCTGTATACCAACTACAATAAGTAAAATTGAACTGTAGATCTGTGCATGACACAGCTTAGAAACCTGCTCCAAGGAGAAGAATTTGTTAATCAGAGCACAATGACTAAGAGCAAAAGAAGAGACAAAGGTACCACGAATATTACTGAAGGAGCAAATTTGCCAATTTCAGAGTTCACTGGGGAAGACATCGAGAAAATGGGGGATACAAAATTCAAAACACTTGTTATAAAACTATCAATAATGAGAAGCATGCAAAGCAAGCATTCAAGGAATTCAAGGAATATGTCACACTGGAAATGAATCAAATGAAAGCTGATATGTCAGAAATGAAGAATACAGTGTGAAGCAAATTAAAAATACAGTGGAGAGTCTCCAAAATAGAATGAAGGATGCAGAAAGAAGGATCTCAAAATTAGAAGATATTTTCTGTCACCAGAGGGAAGCAAACAAAAAGCTGAAAGCAGAGCTGGATTAGGATTAAAAAAGTATTCAAGAGTTGAAAGACACTATCAAAAGGCCAAAAATAAGCATTATGGGAGTTCCAGAAGGTACAGAAAGAGAAGCTGGGTTTAAAAATATATTTAATGAAATAATAAAGAAAAATATCTCTAATTTAGAGAAAGAATTGGGAAAAAACATCCAGGAGGGGCACCGAACTCCGAACAGTGTTCAATAAAAGCGATCTTCATCACGAAAAATGATAATTAAGCTCTTTTCAATCGAACATAAGGAAAAGATCCTTAAATGTGCACGTGAAAAAAATCAACTAACAATTAAGGAAAGCCAATTAAACTCAAAGAAGACCTCTCATAGGAAACTATATGCCAGAAGAGAATGGAGTGATATATTCCAGATACTAAAAGAAAAAATTGTCAACCCGGGGTAATGTACACAACAAAACTTTCTTTTGTCTTTGAAAAAAAAACTAGAATTCTTCCACAGTAAAAAAAATTTAAAAGAATATGCCTCTTTCAAACCTGACCTATAATTGATACTTGAGGATGTTCTCTTCACAGAGAAAAGGAATACTACCCACCAAAACCAAAGGCAAAGGAAAAGAACATTCCAGTAAAATAACAGCACAAGACTAAGTTAATAAACAACCCATTGCTAAAAACACTGGACCAAACTACCACACATTCATATTAATCCTGAATGTGAATTGTTTAAACTCATCAATCATAAATCATCAGGTTAACTTGAGGATGTTGACGGGGAAAAGCTGCCCGACCAATCAGTGCGAAGCAGTCCTGGCTCTATTGAGATGGCACTGTATGTCTCCAACCCAGTTACCCAAACACCCAGAACAAAGAAAGAGGAAAGCAGAAAATGCATGCATATTATTTTATTGATACTAGGAAGACAGGGCTATGTCCACATTGTTGTAAATTTCTGAAGGAAGTCTTCTTAGTGTCTTCTTACTCAGTTTCTGAAAGAGACAAGCAAGGAAACAGGGGTGTTCACAGGCAGGCTGTAGGTGACAGGAAAGTTTGGATCCTTGTTGGTTTCAGTGAAGTACCTAAAGATTCCACCATCCCTCTCTCTTCCACTCCCCTTCCTCCCTTTCTTCATCAGTGTGTCCCTGTTGGCTGTTCATACTCACCTAGCAGATCACACCCTTTGAATGTTGTTTGCAGCTGGAAAGAAAGTAGTCCTGGTGTGCTTCTGTTTGTGTTGGTATGGAAGATGTCTTAGGATGTATTTATAGCAAGGCTTACTGCAGTAGTTTCCTTACTAGTGAGCAAAGGAGGGCGGGCTAAATGTCCAGTGTCAGTGTGTTATTAAGAAATCATAGCGTGGTCCCATGCTGTAGTAACCTGCATATGTAACCAGTGCTCCCAAGTGGGAATGATGTGGTGTTGCTGTGCATCAAACTGTGGTCTGCAGCACTGGCATTCCATATGAGTCCAGCTTAACTCTCATCTACTTCACTTTCAATGAGAGCCTGCTCATGCCCCTGGGCAGCCAGCAGAAGATGATTAAACTGCTTGGTCCCAAGCCAAGCACATGGGAGACCTAGATGAAATTCTTCACCTAGGAGTGGCCATTTGGGAAGTGATGGATTTGTTGGGAGTTCATGCTTTTTCTGTCCTCCATCAATCTGTTGCCTTTGTTTTCAAATAAGGAAGCATTTACAAATTGGACAGGAGCATCTAATTACTAAATTAGTGCAGGAATCATTAATTTTTCATTGCTTGAAACTAAAGTTTCGTTGGAGAATATTGAAAATGAGAGAGTGTAGATTATCAATTTGATGTAATTTGATTAATCAGAAATAGGACAGGGAAAACAGACCATGATACCCTATATAACTTAACTTATTCCAAAAATTTCACAATGACTAGGGGTGGAAAAAATCAAAGGCATTTGCCAAGAAATCAGTTCAGGTCTTCCATGTGTGTGGCAGGGACTCAACCCAGTATTCACCACTCCCATTCTATCCAAGACAGGAAAGAGGAATGAGATGCAGGTAGGGGCTCCATTTCAATTTGATGTGGGATGCAAACATCCTAGGGCCAAGTAAACTGCCTCAACAGATGGTTGGATGAAAGTGAGTTAAATGGCATGTAATGAAATTATTGACTAGCACCGTCTTTGAGCATTCAGGCTTGATGGAAAATGGCAAGTAGCCAGTCATTTTTAGATGGTAAATTGTAAAAGTGTGTCGTTGACCCAGATCCTAGGATGTCCAAGATGAAAGGGTTGAGACAGCACTGCTTAGAAATTCCCCGCAAAATCTACAAGAGCTAGTCCCTGGAAAAGGGGGTATTCAGGAGAGTTTTTCTCGATATCAGAGGTACTTTGGAATACCTGTTGGAAGGATTTATTCCACGAAATTTTGTGCATTGAAATTTTATCACCTAATGTGTGTTAAGAAGGATTGGCAGTAATATCCAGGACTGTGGTTTGTTCCTGTTTTTGTTTTCTGGCTTCTCGTAGTCTGAGAAGCCTAGGAAGCCGAGAATGTGGTAGAGAAAGAATGTGACTCCTACCTGTGGTTGCTTTGTAGGTTACAGGGAAGATTCTTACTGAGAAGCTTCTTGTTGGGTCTCCTGTTGTTGTTCTCCTTGTTGTTCTTCCTGTTGGGCTCCTCCTTGGGGTCCTCCCTGTTGTGCTCCTTGAGGTCCTCCTTGTTGGGCTCCTCCTTGGGGTCCTCCCTGCTGGGGTGCTCCTTGTGGTCCTCCCTGTTGGGGTCCTCCTTGGGGTGTTTGTTGTTGGGCTGCTCCTTGAGGTCCTCCTTGCTGTGATCCTGCCTGTGGGCCTCCCTGTTGTTCTTCTTCTTGGGATTCTGCCTGTTGTTGCTGTCCTTGTGATTCCTGTTGGGATTGTTCCTGCTGTTGTTCTGCTTGTGCTTCTGCTTCTTGGGATTCTGCCTGTGGTCCTCCTTGTTGGGCTGGTCCTTGTGGGCCTCCCTGTGGTCCTCCTTGTGGGCCACCTTGTTGGCCTCCTTGTTGGCCTGCTCCTTGTGGGCCTCCCTGTGGTCCTCCTTGTTGAGATGCTCCTTGTGGGCCACCTTGTGGTCCTCCTTGTTGGCCTGCTCCTTGTGGGCCTCCCTGTGATCCTCCCTGTGGGCCTCCTTTTTGGCCTCCTTGTGGGCCTCCCTGTCGTCCTCCCTGTGGTCCTCCTCGTTGGCCTGCGCCTTGTGGGCCTCCTTGTGGGCCTCCCTGTGGTCCTCCTTGTTGGCCTGCACCTTGTGGGCCTCCCTGTTGTCCTCCCTGTGGTCCTCCTCGTTGGCCTGCTCCTTGTGGGCCTCCCTGTGGTCCTCCCTGTGGTCCTCCTCGTTGTCCTGTGCCTTGTGGGCCTCCCTGTGGTCCTCCTCGTTGACCTGCTCCTTGTGGGCCTCCCTGTGGTCCTCCCTGTGGTCCTCCTCGTTGTCCTGCTCCTTGTGGGCCTCCCTGTGGTCCTCCTCGTTGGCCTGCACCTTGTGGGCCTCCCTGTGGGCCTCCCTGTGGTCCTCCTCGTTGGCCTGCTCCTTGTGGGCCTCCTTGTGGTCCTCCCTGTGGTCCTCCTCGTTGGCCTGCACCTTGTGGGCCTAAAGGTGGAAGAATGGGGGGGAAGAATGTGGGAAGAAGAGGTGGATAAGAAGGGTGGGAAGAAAGGTGGTAAGAAGAGTGGGAAGGAGAGGGGGGGAAGTATAAGGGGGAAGAAAGGGGGGAAAGAAGTGGAAGAAGAGGGGGGAAGGAGAATGGGGGGAAAAAGGGTAAGAAAGGGGGAAAGAAGAGGGGGAAGGGAGATGTGGGGAAAAGGGGGGAAAAAGCGGGGTAAGAATAAGGGGGGAAGAAAAGGGGGGAAGAAGAGTGGGAAGGAGAATGGGGGGAAAAATGGGGAAGAAGAGGGGGAAGAGAGGGGGGGAAGAAAGGGGAATAGAAAGTGGGGGAAGAAAAGAGGTGGAAGGGAATTGGGGGGGAAGAAGGGGGGGAAGAATATGGGAAGGATAAGTGTGGGAAGAAAGGGGGGAAGAAATGGGGGAATGATAAGAGTGGGAAGGATAGGGGGGGAATAAAGGTGGGTAAGAAATGGGGGAAGATAATAGGGGGAAGGGAAGAATGTGGTAATAATGTTGGAAGAAATGTGGGAAAGAAAGAAGTGGGAAGGAGAAGGGGGGGAATAAGGGGGGGAAGAAAGGTGGTAATAATCGGGGAAGTAGAAGGGGGGGAGGGAATGGGGGGAAGGATAAGGGGGTGAGGAATGGGGAAGAGAAGGGGGACGAAAGGTGGGAATAAGAGGGGGGAGAAAATGGGGGTATAAAGGGGGGAGGATAAAGAGGTAATTAGGGGGGGGTTTAAGAAGGGGGGAATGAGGGGGAGGATAATGGGGGTAATAAAGGGGGGGTTGGAAAATGGGGGAAGAAGAGTGGGTGGAGAAGAAGAGATGTTTTGGGTTGGGTGAGGTGGTAAAGTGTGGAGAGAGAAAATGGGTGAAAGAATAAGGAATTATATTAGAAGGGGAGTGGATGTTGGGGGATTGGTTTTGGGAGAAGATGGGTGTTATGTTTGGATAGTATAAGAGGTGGATGTGTGGGGGGAGGGGGGGGGGTGTATAGATGGGAGGAGTAAGATTTTTTGAGGGAGGGGGGGGAGTATTTTGAGGTGAGAGATGTTTGGTGTGAATTGGATGGGGGAATTGTAATTTTTGTTTTTTATGTGGGTTGTGGAAATGGTTTTAAAGTGTGTGGTAATAATGTGGGGGTGGGGATTTGAAGTGGATTGTGTATTGGTTGAATATGCCTTGAGGCCCAATACTCACGTAGAGGAAATCTAACTGTGAGGTAAAACTCAAGTTGTGATCTTGTTTAGTGGTCCCCAAATAGAGCTTGGGGAAAGGTGGCCTATATTTTCACGTTTCTTCCACTCATGAATTCCCACTATGAAATAATGGCCAGAATTCTTGGAGAACAGGAACATTGTTGAGGAGAAAAGATTAGGAATCTGATTGAGAATGATGGAGCTTTACCTGCTATCAGTGAGGAATAGCCATGGTAGTTGACATCTAGGACAAGAAAAAATGGCATGAATGAGAAGTTAAGTCAAAATCTGCCAACACTCTCTTAATCTGTTGGTGGGAAAAGGCATTCCCACCACAGTCTGAAGCCCTGGAAGGTATCCTGTTAGCCTTCCTGAGGAGTTTTCTTGAAAGGGAAGAGTAAGTCTCAGGTCTTCTTTTTCATCAGTCTGTCCTCCACCCAAGCTGAAATGCTCTCCTCCAGCCCTGGGGAGAGTCAAAGGTGCTACTTGCCACCCGTTTTTGCCTACCTCTAGGTGCGCTCTGAACAGAGCTCAGGGCCAGCAGGGCCACGGAGAGCAGGATCAGCAGCATCTTGCTGGAGACTCTGGAGTTGCTCCCGAGTGTGTGTTGGAAGAGTCAGGGCAGCTCACTTTATACAGAGTGACAGAACAAGGGCACCTTTGAGCTGCACATTGGGTGCCCCTGTGCTGCTGACATCATGTCAAGCGCATCCTTTCCTTCTGTTTGGGACCAGAGCCCAGCAGGATGGAGAGTAGTGGAGGAAGTGAGTGTCTCAGTTTCAAAATGTACCACCTGTGATTTTGGCCATACCCTTGAAGGAACACTGTGCAGTCTTCTCTGTAATATTTATGTTCAAGTTCAGTGCTGTTGGATCTTGAGTCTGTTTTGTGTGTCTGTTATTCACCTTCTCCTTCCTTTGCCCCAGGTTTGCGTGTGTGCCTCTGCGTTGGCAATGGTCCTGTAGCCAGCAAAGAAATTCTTCCATATGTTTGGCTCTTAGGGTAGACAAGCAGACTGGACCACCATGATGCATGGTGTGTACCTGAGTGAAGTTCATTTCATTATATTTTACCAACAGAAATGGTGTGCATTTTCCCTTTTGGTTTGGGTGATGGAGCTCCTGTTGTTCGCATATGTTGGTGTAAGATGCTAATGCATTCATTTTTCTTGTTGCTGAGAAGTCTCTGGATCTGGCCTTCATCCAGAAAGTGTGGTTCTGGAGTGCATGAGCAAGCAAGACCTTTCTGTCTTTTGGTATATGTTGTGGTGTTAAGGCCCAAGTGGCTGACATCATCTAGTCATTTTCTCAACACCCCACATGAATGTAGCCTTCTTGCTAGAATGATTCAAGGCATTTTGTATCTGCGTAGGACTCTCCCGAGGTCCTCTTCTTGACTCAGGTGTTCAGTAAGACTCAGGTTAGGCATTGTTTCCACCAGAAAATCCTGAAGTGAGTCTGGCTTTGCTTTCAACACTTAGGCTTTCTTGTAAGAAGTGGTTTTGTATCTTGTACCGCTAGCTGAAATGTGCTTCAATGCCATTTTCTCTGTAAGATCCTCTTGTTCCTCAATTACCATTTTCCTTCTGAAACTTACTGTTTTGTATTTTATGTTTTAATATGTTGTATTTTGTATATGTATCAAAATTGTGTATGTGTTTCCCACCGTGCACTGGGGATGAACTCATGGGAAGAACACTGCAGAAATGAGTTAGCGCTTTAATTTCTTGGTGCAGTTGTTTGGTCTTGCATTTACTTCATAATGTGTGATGCCTATGTCCTTTTCAGTGAGTTGTTGGTGTTAGAGCCTAGCTCCACAGTAATTACCAGGTTTTTGCTAATGCACAGCATGGTGGTTAGTAAGTGATAGCTCAAGGACTGGTTGTGCTGCCACTTATGCTGGAGACCTGCTGCTGCAAATTTACCTTGTGGGTGCCTGGGGAGGAGAGCAACCAAAAAGAAATAGGGGGACAGTGCTCTTTTGGGCAACTGACAATGTTTATTTCCAGGGTTCCAGGTTAGATACACGCAACAAAACAATAGTTCAAGCACAACTCAGACTTCGGTCATGTCTGTAAGCAGGGAGTTCAAGGAAAGCTAACTTGGTGCCTTGGACAAAGAGCATTATTGAAATGGGGACTAGATAGAGTACTGTTTGCCCTTGGATAGCTGATAAGACAGAGTACAGATGCTTGCCTGTTATCAAGGGAAGTGCGGAAACACCAGCTAGGACACACTGGGGACAGTGTGCATGGTGGGTGAGGGGCTCTTCACCTCCTTTCCTGGAGCCTCTTCTCAACAGGTTCCCAGCCTTGCATGTGTCACCCCTTATGTTGTTGGATGTGTTACGACACCTGGCCTGCTTGCTACATCCTCTCCCAAGTTAGCCAGTAGCACTTGGGGAGTGAAGTAGAACATCATTCATTAAAACAGTGTTAACATTGCTACAGTTCATTGGAGGAGTTTCAGAGATGTTGATTTGGTCTAGAGGTTCCTGTGAAGTTATTACAATGGGTAAATTTTTTTTTCCAGACAGAAATGTGGGATGCAAACTGGAGATGTGTTGAGCTGAGTGGAACGGAAGAGGTGTCTTGTGGTAGACCCTCACATAGGAAAGTGAGGTCAGAAAAAGCAACAGAGGCAAGATGCAGGGAAAGCTGGTCACATGGTGTGAGCAGCTGCTGAGAGGGCTGTCATGCTAGAAGGCAACCTTGACCTTCGTGTGGTGCAAGGTGGAGGAGACCAGGTGATCCTTGCAAATGTCACTGAGCTCGAGCTCTTTCCCTAACCTTCTCCTGTGTCAGCAGTAAGTGAAAGAGATTAGTGCATCCCAGAAGAATAAATATCAGCTCTGAACTCAGCAGACAGACAGGGGGAGAACACTGACTGACGGATGTCTGATAGGAAAGAGTGGGGAAGGTGGGGATGGTGTTGTTGAAGCACGAGTGCCTCTGTAGTCTACCTCTTTGGAAGCTCAGGTGACTTCAAAGCCTTAGTTGCCTTTGGGTAGGATGTTAAAGATGGTGAATCCCAACTGAGTCTTGATTTGCTCATCTGAAAATCAGTTCTCTTCCTTGTTGTTATTCCCTGGGTGCCATAATAGAACAGCAGATCATCAGTTGATAACAGAGCAGTTTGTTTTCATACACTTCTGGAGGCTAATAATCCATGTGATTTCCAATTGTAAAGACCATGCTTTGGTGCTTGTCTTTAAGTATCAGAGATTGTATTTCTTTGTCATAAAACCCCAATTTACTTAAAAGAAGTATTGAATTTTCTCCAAAGTCATGGGAATATAGAGAGAGGGAGGCTCTAGTGAAAGAGGGAGATAGATAAATAGATAGATAGATAGAGGGAGAGAGAGAGAGAGAGAGATGTTCTTCAATCCTTTGTAGCCTAGCCATTCCATAGCTGGTAAATAGGAGATTCTCCTAGGTCTTCCACAATGGTGCCTCACCTTCGGGCCTTGTGTTGTACTTTTCTGCTTTTCCCAGTATTTGCAGCTACGTGGGTCAAAATTGGCCCACCATGATTCAAAGCATTTCCTCTGTTGGATCTGGTGTCTCATATGGAACGTTGCTTGTGTTTCCATTCCTAACAGAGCCTGTTGAATTTCATCTGAGGTCTTCTGCATTGGTTCCCCGTGGGGTACATTGTGTTGTATGTGCAGTTGGGACTCATCTGCATGTGTGCAGGAATCAGACTGCGTTAAGACCTCTTGTTACCACCCAGTTAACTATATTCGTATGCTTCTTAAATTTTCATTGTGATATTTGCTTACTTTTTTGAAAGGCAGAGTCAGAGAGTGAGATGTGAGTGTGAGTGAGGGAGAGAGAGGGATAGAGGTTCCTTCCACTTGTTTACTGTGAATGACTAGAATGGGTGAGACTGTGTCAGGCAGGAGCCAGGAGTCAGGAGCCAGGCAGGAGCCAGGAGCTTCTTCTGGGACTCCCACACATGGCAGGATCTCAGTTACTTGGGGCATGTTCTGATGCTTTTTCAGGTGCATTAGGAGGGAACTGGAGCAGAGCTGGAACAGCCAGGACTCAAACTAGCACCCTTGTGGCATGCCAGCATGACAAGTAGTGGTTTCATCCACTCCACCAGTTCCCAACCCATCGCATTTTCAAAGCTTCTACGACAGGAGAGTGAGATTTTCAGTTAGCCTAGCAGAAGGTTTCGGCCTGTGATTTGTTTGTTTGTGGGACTGGGGGGAGCTGAATGGCAAATTGTTCCATAACACTTGCTATTCTCTTTATTTTTTTTCTTAAAGATTTATTTACGTATTGGAATGATAGGGTTGTACGTGAGAGAGAGGAGAGTCAGAGGGGTTTTGCATGCAGTGGAAATTAGTGTGTGCTGGGCCCTTCTGATCAGGTGTGAGTTGCAAGTGTTGTTACAGTTTTTTTTGTTGTTGTTGATGAATCAACCAAGCATCTTGACGATATAAATAACCTATGTGAATTTATCTGTCAGAATTAAAACTAGGTTAAATTTCTGTGCTATTCTGGACATTCTGTTATATTGATCTATATATTTGAAGGTCGGTGCTATGTAAATATCGATATGACCCAATGGATTTACCTTTGAAACTTTCTATCACCTTCTCCCATTCTTTCATACAAATATTCATCGGTTTACCGATCTATGTCATGTATTGATGTCTCATATATCCTTCTGTCTGTCATCTATCTCTTTGCACGTGGGGAAAAATGAAGAAATAAAAGTCTCAAATGATAATTACATTCCGGGATTTTCAGTTTCACCTTTTCCAGAAATCCTATTCCATTAGATAAAAAATTATCTTTGTCAGCACATAGCTTATTACCTTCAACACCTGTTCACAAGTTTCTGTTGTTTTTTTGATTGCTCTGTTGTGTAAACACAATCATTAAAATTAGTTTTTTGAAGTTTTGCAATGACAAAGACACAAGCAGTGCAGGTCATGCATGATTACTTCTTATGCACACTTGACTGTGTTTCTCAGGGAGCCACATTAGCAATGTATCACGTTGTGAAAGCCTGTATTAGCTGTGCTAAGCCTTGATTAGCTTGCCACAGGTTGTACTAAGACAACTGAAAATGGGTCTGCTGTATGCTGCAGCTATCCCACTCCTGGGAATATATTCAAATCTGTCTGTGAGAGAGTGACCTGCAACCCTATGTTGATAGCAGCACGATCTATGGTGAGGAAGACGTGGCCATCACCCAGATGCTTATTGAGAGAGGAATGCCTATGACACAGTGGTCCATCTGCTCCTTGGAATACCATTCAGCCATGGAAAACAGTGAAAGTCTACCATTTGCAACACAGTGGTTCCAACTAGAGGCCATTAGGCTCAGTGAAATAAGCCACTCCCAGAAGGACATATATCATATGTTTTCTGTGAGATAAGGCATCCTCTGTGAAAATTAGAAAACAAATAGGTATTTGGGTAAACATGTATATATACATACACAGAGATGTACTTTAGAATGGAGACCAGCATAGCTGGAAGTGAAGATCCATTGCTGTATGCGTTTCTACTCCCGAATAAAAGGAGAACTCCCAATGAAGCTGTTAGATACGTGCTGACAATAGGATAGTTGACTTTGTACCATTGTCTGTGCAACAAAGCCATGATACACTTGAGTAGCAGACAGTTGAACTTGTGACTGTTGTTGAAGGCCTATACTATTGTAATAATCTGTGACAAGCTGTGGGGAGGGTTGTGGGGGAGTGGAAGGAGAAATTGAACAAATTAAAAAGTGCAAGAATCTTAAACTGAACGAATCTTATGGAGATATTAAGAAATGAATTATTTTGTTCAGTAGGAATAATTGGGCCTTATTTTGTATGTATGGCATGCATTTTATTATGAGAATCTTAGAGATGTTATGAATTATTTTATACATGATGTGTTTGTGTTTTAAGTGGTATTGCAGAGAAAGTCAAAAGTGTTATTTGGTTGTTAAATGGTAAAACCTGTAGTGCAAATGTTAATTTATGATTGAAGAAAGACTTGACCAGATAAATTTGGTGTCCCATAGCTGCGGTTTATAGTATTTTTCCTGATTGCCTAGACTCCACAGCTGGTCAGCAGTCACCTAGGGCCGTAGTTAGGGGACTGTGATCGCATGCACACTGCAGTCATGGCACTTCCCTACAGACATGGGGTAGTTTTAAATCTTTTGGTTTGAAGCTTTACTGTAAGCTTTCATGTTTAGACAGGCTTGGTACACATGTTCTCATTGTTGAGTTATAGTAGCTTCCCCATATTGAGTATAATCACTAGGCTGAGGTTTTGTAGTCTGAGAGTGATCAGCCTGACCGGACAGCCTAAGGCATGTGGATTCATGCTATAATGTTTGAATAATGGCAGAAAACCTAATGATGCATTTCTCTTGTGACAGAAATGTCGTTAAATGATTTGTGGCTTTATATGTGATTTCCTGTATACATTCATTGAAAATTGAAGTTCATACACCTTTTTTAAAGCTTTTGAAATTCATGCACACACACACACACACACACACACACACACACACACACACACACACGGATTGATAATACTCCATATTATGACCGGGTGGTCTATGTTTAAAATTAGTTTAAGAAAGAATTGACTGGACAATTTTTGCACAAACATGTTGAATAATCAAAATTTGTCCCATGGTCAATCCTGTATTTATTAAACTTTTAAATTGTCATCCATGTACTTACGTATCTAAAGGTGTGTTGAATCATGTTGTTGGTGCCATGCATGGGGGAAAACGTTTGAATTATATTTAGTTATTTGCTCTTTGATTCTCAGCATTGCCCTATGTGTTATCATCTCTATATGTATCTATAGCCATATGCTTTTAGTATATAGTGGAATGAAGGAAAAGCTGATTCTCTTGAGGGATTTAAACAAAGGCATTCAACTCATTCATATGAGTACAGTTAATCTCTGTGTGGGAGGGAGAAGAAGGGGTGGTGAAAGAGACAGGCAGACAGATAAAGGCATAAGAGGATATAAAAACACACACAGAAAGAGTGAGAAGAGGGAGAATATCGTTATTTATTAGGAGAATTAAAAATGCCTAGGAAAAAAATCACAGGAAATGCCGAGGTTCAGTGGAAGGAACTCTGATGCAGATGGTCCAGAGTTTGTCATATCCATCTCTGGTTGTTTATCTACCCTGGCACCTACCACTGCATCCTTCTGTGCAAAGTCTAGTTTCTGTCTTTTGGAATTTTGTTTCTGCTGAAGACTTTACCACTGGAGTTTTCCCCCTTCAATCAGTCATTGGAGTGAAAGTCTTCCACCTGAGGTGTAAGGGTTGTGCTGGGTAGGGCAGGTGACCTGCTTGCAACATAGGTGGGTGGGTGGGGCAAGAGTTTTGAGGGATGCCCCAGTTGGGCATACTAAGGACATCTGCTTGCAGATGTGGCTGAGCAGGTTTGAGAGCTCCGTGATTGGCAGTTCAGGATTTTCTGTGCATTGCGGTGACCTTGTTAATTCACAGATAGAGGGAGCTTATGGCACCAGGACACTTCATGACCAAGTGTGTGTGCCTTGACAGCAGTGACACATTCTGTAGTTGGTTCCACACTGCCACATTTTGGATTGGTCCCCAGGGTTCAGGGAGTTCAGAAAATCGGAAGTTCCACTGTGAGGGTGTACAAGACCTGTTAGTGTGTGAAATTTTCTTATCAGTGGACTCTCTGTCCTGAACTCGCACACACAGTCAGTAGGAGCAATGGTCTATTGTGGACCCTGCCAATGTCCTGTTGTACCCTTGGTCAGAACCGAATTCATCAGTGATCCATCACAACCAAGTGTATCTGCTGTGCTCATGTAGAGATAGGGGAGGAAGGCAATGTGGCTTGTCTTGATGGAGCAAAGTAGCTGCTCAGCAGACTGTCTGCTCCCCAGGATGAGGATAAGTATGAACTCAGTGTGGAGTTTCACTTCCCCTTCATGAAATCTGCGTGTCTGGTGACCCTGACGCCTCCTGACTATGTGAACATGACCAGGTGTTGTTTGGTCTTGATGGGAAGAGTGTGCAGGTGCGGTGGTGGCCTGTGGCCTACATGGATGGGATGGAGCTATCTTCTATGCTTGCTGCCCTACATGTTCCTTTTCTGTCCTGTCACTTGTGCATGGAGAATTTCTCTTTAGAGTGTTCCTGGAGAACATGGTCCTTTGTTTATTTCTCTGATGTCATCCAGTGACTAATGCCATTGCATTTCCCTAGCTGTTTTCTCATCTTGAGTGTCTTTGATGAGTTTGAAGCATGTTTGCCTTTCAAGAAATGTCATCACGTTCTTATTGTTTCATAGTAGCATGTGACCTTATTTAATTATTCTAATCTTCTGAGTTAAATTTGATTTGTAGTAAGAGTACAGTAGGAACATGGGGATATATAGGGAGAATTCTGCCATCTGGTGCATGGGCTGGTTCTCTTCTCCAGTGTGCTTAAATGTCAGGCCTGGGCTGTCCTGAAAGCAGAAGCTGGGATGGTGTGGAGGTTCCCTATGCTTATGGAGGAACTTAAGGTGTGTGTTGATAGAAGGCTAGAATTGCAACATCCCCCAAAGATTTCTTCTCCATCCTCTTGAAAGAAGTTTTATGATATCCTTAAGCTTTCTTTTGGTGTAGGGGTGATCATCACTTACATGAGGAGGAGGGAATGGTGTTGAAGTTATTTATACCATTATGGTGGGTATTGATTGTGTTACACAGTTTAACCACTCTCTGTTCTTCCTGTGTTCCTTATTGGAGAGCTCTGGGTTACATGTAGTTTGCACTGCCCTTTCCCAGATTTGTGTTAATGCACAGAGTGGTAGGTACAGAAATGGGTAAAGTATTGGAGCCCCTCAAGCCAGGTGGGTGATCTGCTTTGTCTGGGCTCTTTCCTGTCTACAGCTTCCCCCTCACTGTCCATGTGGTGTTTGTTGAACGAAGCAGAATGGCAAAAGCACTTGCCATACGTGTGGGTGTGTGTGTGTTTTCAAGAGCTCATGCGCTAGTGCTTGCCTGTGTGTGTGTGTGTGATTTCGCATTGCATTTGTGTGTTGAACTCAGAGAATCTGAGGAAGAATGAAATTCTTTCATCCTGAAGTTAAATTGTGGATGTAAGGGAGAAGAGAAATGCTGCCCGACCAATCAGTGCGAAGCAGTCCTGGCTCTATTGAGATGGCACTGTATGTCTCCAACCCAGTTACCCAAACACCCAGAACAAAGACAGAGGAAAGCAGAAAATGCATGCATATTATTTTATTGATACTAGGAAGACAGGGCTATGTCCACATTGTTGCAAATTTCTGAAGGAAGTCTTCTTAGTGTCTTCTTACTCACTTTCTGAAAGAGACAAGCAAGGAAACAGGGGTGTTCACAGGCAGGCTGTAGGTGACAGGAAAGTTTGGATCCTTGTTGGCTTCAGTGAAGTACCTAAAGACTCCACCATCCCTCTCTCTTCCACTCCCCTTCCTCCCTTTCTTCATCAGTGTGTCCCTGTTGGCTGTTCATACTCACCTAGCAGATCACACCCTTTGAATGTTGTTTGCAGCTGGAGAGAAAGTAGTCCTGGTGAGCTTCTGTCTGTGTTGGTATGGAAGATGTCTTAGGATGTATTTATAGCAAGGCTTACTGCAATAGTTTCCTTACTAGTGAGCAAAGGAGGGCGGGCTAAATGTCCAGTGTCAGTGTGTTATTAAGAAATCGTAGTGTGGTCCCTTGCTGTAGTAACCTGCATATGTAACCAGTGCTCCCAAGTGGGAATGATGTGTTGTTGCTGTGCATCAAACTGTGGTCTGCAGCACTGGCATTCCATATGAGTCCAGCTTAACTCTCATCTACTTCACTTTCAATGAGAGCCTGCTCATGCCCCTGGGCAGCCAGCAGAAGATGATTAAACTGCTTGGTCCCAAGCCAAGCACATGGGAGACCTAGATGAAATTCTTCACCTAGGAGTGGCCATTTGGGAAGTGATGGCTTTTTTGGGAGTTCATGCTTTTTCTGTCCTCCATCAATCTGTTGCCTTTGTTTTCAAATAAGGAAGCATTTACAAATTGGACAGGAGCATCTAATTACTAAATTAGTGCAGGAATCATTAATTTTTCATTGCTTGAAACTAAAGTTTCGTTGGAGAATTTTGAAAATGAGAGAGTGTAGATTATCAACTTGATGTAATTTGATTAATCAGAAATAGGACAGGGAAAACAGACCATGATACCTGCTATAGCTTAACTTTTTGCAAAAATTTCACAATGACTAGGGGTGGAACAGGTCAAAGGCAATTGCCAAGAAATCAGTTCAGGTCTTCCATGTGTGTGGCAGGGACTCAACACAGTGTTCACCACTCCCATTCTATCCAAGACAGGAAAGAGGAATGAGATGCAGGTAGGGGCTCCATTTCAATTTGATGTGGGATGCAAACATCCTAGGGCCAAGTAAACTGCCTCAACAGATGGTTGGATGAAAGTGAGTTAAATGGCATATAATGAAATTATTGATTAGCACAGTCTTTGAGCATTCAGGCTTGATGGAAAATGGCAAGTAGCCAGTCATTTTTAGATGGTAAATTGTAAAAGTGTGTCGTTGACCCAGATCCTAGGATGTCCAAGATGAAAGGGTTGAGACAGCACTGCTTAGAAATTCCCTGCAAAATCTACAAGAGCTAGTCACTGGAAAAGGGGGTATTCAGGAGATTTTTCTCGATATCAGAGATACTTTGGAGTAGCTGTTGGAAGGATTTATTGCATGAAATTTTATCCATTGAAATTTTATCACCTAATGTGTGTTAAGAAGGATTGGCAGTAATATCCAGGACTGTGGTTTGTCCCTGTTTTTGTTTTCTGGCTTCTCGTAGTCTGAGAAGCCTAGGAAGCCGAGAATGTGGTACAGAAAGAATGTGACTCCTACCTGTGGTTGCTTTGTAGGTTACAGGGAAGATTCTTACTGAGAAGCTTCTTGTTGGGTCTCCTGTTGTTGTTCTCCTTGTTGTTCTTCCTGTTGGGCTCCTCCTTGGGGTCCTCCCTGTTGTGCTCCTTGAGATCCTCCCTGTTGTGCTCCTTGAGGTCCTCCTTGTTGGGCTCCTCCTTGGGGTCCTCCCTGCTGGGGTGCTCCTTGGGGTCCTCCCTGTTGGGGTCCTCCTTGGGGTGTTTGTTGTTGGGCTGCTCCTTGAGGTCCTCCTTGCTGTGATCCTGCCGGTGGGCCTCCCTGTTGTTCCTCTTCTTGGGATTCTGCCTGTTGTTGCTGTCCTTGTGATTCCTGTTGGGATTGTTCCTGCTGTTGTTCTGCTTGTGCTTCTGCTTCTTGGGATTCTGCCTGTGGTCCTCCTTGTTGGACTGCTCCTTGTGGGCCTCCCTGTGGGCCTCCCTGTGGTCCTCCTTGTGGGCCACCTTGTGGGCCTCCTTGTTGGCCTGCTCCTTGTGGGCCTCCCTGTGGTCCTCCTTGTTGGCCTGCGCCTTGTGGGCCTCCCTGTGGTCCTCCCTGTGGGCCTCCTCGTTGGCCTGCTCCTTGTGGGCCTCCCTGTCGTCCTCCCTGTGGTCCTCCTCGTTGGCCTGCACCTTGTGGGCCTCCCTGTGGTCCTCCCTGTGGGCCTCCCTGTGGTCCTCCTCGTTGTCCTGCTCCTTGTGGGCCTCCCTGTGGTCCTCCTCGTTGGCCTGCTCCTTGTGGGCCTCCCTGTGGTCCTCCCTGTGGGCCTCCCTGTGGTCCTCCTCGTTGGCCTGCTCCTTGTGGGCCTCCCTGTGGTCCTCCCTGTGGTCCTCCTCGTTGTCCTGCTCCTTGTGGGCCTCCCTGTGGTCCTCCCTGTGGTCCTCCTCGTTGGCCTGCTCCTTGTGGGCCTCCCTGTGGTCCTCCCTGTGGTCCTCCTCGTTGTCCTGCGCCTTGTGGGCCTCCCTGTGGTCCTCCTCGTTGTCCTGCACCTTGTGGGCCTCCCTGTGGTCCTCCTCGTTGTCCTGCTCCTTGTGGGCCTCCCTGTGGGCCTCCCTGTGGTCCTCCTCGTTGGCCTGCTCCTTGTGGGCCTCCCTGTGGTCCTCCCTGTGGTCCTCCTCGTTGTCCTGCGCCTTGTGGGCCTCCCTGTGGTCCTCCTCGTTGGCCTGCACCTTGTGGTCCTCCCTGTGGTCCTCCTCGTTGGCCTGCACCTTGTGGGCCTCCCTGTGGGCCTCCCTGTGGTCCTCCTCGTTGGCCTGCACCTTGTGGGCCTCCTTGTGGGCCTCCCTGTGGTCCTCCTCGTTGGCCTGCGCCTTGTGGTCCTCCTTGTGGTCCTCCCTGTGGTCCTCCTCGTTGGCCTGCGCCTTGTGGGCCTCCTTGTGGTCCTCCCTGTGGTCCTCCTCGTTGGCCTACTCCTTGTGGGCTTCCTTGTTGGCCTGCTCCTTGTGGGCCTCCCTGTGGGCCTCCTCTTTGGGCTCCTCCTTGTGGACCTCCCTGTTGTGCTGCTCCCTCTGGTCCTTCTTGTTGGAATCCTCCCTGTGGTCCTTCTTGTGCTGCTCCTTGTGGTCCACCCTGTTGGAATGCCCCTTGTGGGCCTCCTCTTTGGAGTCCTCCTCCTAGCAGAAAATGTAAGTGAGATTAGTGACCATAGATTCTCCCATTGTTAGTCTCACCTTCCAACACTTATCTTCCTTTGCTAGCATGTATTTTTCAAGTGATAATCTCTCTCATTTATACAGAAAGGCACTACTCCTCTGAATTCATATAGTGCTTGTGTGGAGACACTCATTCTGCTACTCGCAAAAATATCTTGCTTGTGTCTACAAAAGCTGAGCTCTCAGAAATGAGAGTCCAAGGCATGTGGCCAAGGACAAAAAGAAAACATATTGAATATGCCATGAAATCCTAGTGAGTGTCCTCCATATTTGGATTTTCAAATCCTATTCAATAGACAAGCCACTTCCTTGAGGCCCAATACTCACGTAGAGGAAATCTAACTGTGAGGTAAAACTCAAGTTGTGATCTTGTTTAGTGGTCCCCAAATAGAGCTTGGGGAAAGGTGGCCTATATTTCCATTCATGAATTCCCACTATGAAATAATGGCCAGAATTCTTGGAGAACAGGAACATTGTTGAGGAGAAAAGATTAGGAATCTGATTGAGAATGATGGAGCTTTACCTGCTATCAGTGAGGAATAGCCATGGTAGTTGACATCTAGGACAAGAAAAAATGGCATGAATGAGAAGTTAAGTCAAAATCTGCCAACACTCTCTTAATCTGTTGGTGGGAAAAGGCATTCCCACCACAGTCTGAAGCCCTGGAAGGTATCCTGTTAGCCTTCCTGAGGAGTTTTCTTGAAAGGGAAGAGTAAGTCTCAGGTCTTCTTTTTCATCAGTCTGTCCTCCTCCACCCAAGCTGAAATGCTCTCCTCCAACTCTGGGGAGAGTCAAAGGTGCTACTTGCCACCCGTTTTTGCCTACCTCTAGGTGCGCTCTGAACAGAGCTTAGGGCCAGCAGGGCCACGGAGAGCAGGATCAGCAGCATCTTGCTGGAGACTCTGGAGTTGCTCCCGAGTGTGTGTTGGAAGAGTCAGGGCAGCTCACTTTATACAGAGTGACAGAACAAGGGCACCTTTGAGCTGCACATTGGGTGCCCCTGTGCTGCTGACATCATGTCAAGCGCATCCTTTCCTTCTGTTTGGGACCAGAGCCCAGCAGGATGGAGAGTAGTGGAGGAAGTGAGTGTCTCAGTTTCAAAATGCATAACATGTGACTTTGGCCAAGCTATTGAGTGAATAGCTTTTCAATATTTTCTCCCATTGGTAAATTTTAGTGCTGTTGGATCTTGAGTCTGTTTTGTGTGTCTGTTATTCACCCTCTCCTTCCTTTGCCCTAATTTTTGCATGTGTGCTTATGCATTAACAGTGATTTTAGAGCCTGAAATGAAATTATTTATTATTAAAATTGTTAAGCACATTGGGTCACCATCACACATGGTGTTTATCTATTTGTTGTATATTTAGTGACAATTCTTTTACAGAAATGGCTTTCTTTTCACCTTAGCTGTGTGTGATAATTATGCTGTTGTGTGTTCATTTTGTGTCATCAGATATTGATCTGCACTGTCGTCAGATCTACACAGAGTTGCATTAGGGTCTTGAGCTGACTCCTTCAAGGAATTCTGAAGAGCAGAAGCAACTGAGATCTTTTTGTGTTTTTTCATATATTTGTGGGTATTAAAAACAAAGTGGCCAATATGAACTAATGATTTTCTCAGCAGCCCACATGAATGTACCCTTTTTCCTGGAATAATTCCAAGTTTTTATGTCTGTGGAAGACTCTTGAGGTTGTCTTCTTATCCAAAGTGTTCAACAAAATTCAGCTTAAATGTTATTTCCCTTAGAAAATAATTTTACTCACTTTCACTCAAGATAATTTTATCTAGTCCACTCCAGACATGAGTTTGTATTCCCTTCGACATATTGGCTTTCCAATATGTAGTGTACTTCTATCCTATTGTGCTAGCCAAAATATTCTTCAGTGCCTTCTTTTTTCTGTAAGATACATATCCTCATTCCTCCCCATTGTTCATTTGAAACATACTTTTTATTTAATCTTTTATTTATATTCTTATTTTTTATTGACTCTATGTTTTTCTCTATACATTTTAGAGGTTCTTTATTTAGACTTCTAATTCAGCATCCATGATGTTCAGTAATTGTATTTTAGTTCTGTTTAATCACTTGTCAAGGATTTACTGTGTTTCCTGAAATATCCTTTTAGGTGGCTCTCTTGGTCATTGAGTTCTGTGCTGATTATTTTATGATGCCCTGTGGTTCCTACTGCGTCTCTTCCCTGGGTGATGTAGGTGAGTAGATATCACCAGCAGTCACTTGCTGTTTTGGATGTTGTGTAAGTTTTGTGTTCTTATTGGGTTTTGTGTTAGTATAGTGGCAGCCAGGGTATGTTTGGAAGCAGATGTGGCAGGGAGGGTCATGCGTCTAGAGCCCTTGGATAGATCTTTGTGGGTGACTAGATGTTGTGCTATGCATGTGGCTATCCTTATTTTACTTTGCATTCTGAGAGGTTGTTGATGATACTGTAGTGAGGATTGCTGCTGCAGTGTGGTTTGATGCACATAATGTTTTTCCTTGCTACTGACCAGGCCTGTTGTTTGTTTCCCTTGTATAATTGTGAATATATTTTTCATTATTTCTTCAATGTTGTGCTCTTCCAAACTCATATTGGATTGATTCCCTTATGCAATAATGTTGGGAAGCGAGGCGTATCTCAAGTGGTTAGTTCAGGAAGGATATACTGACTGAATGGATGAATGCTGTTCTTATGGTAGAGGCTTTGTTACCATGGAAGGGGTTCTTGACAACTTGATGAGGTCTGGCCTCTTCTCACCTTCCTTCTTGCTATCATTCTATGTTTTACCAATGCTTCCTTGCCCTTTAAAACATTTTGATGGAGCGTGAATGTGCTACTTGATGCCAATACTAGGTTCTTTTTTTTTCTTCTAACTGTGAACCAACTAAATCTCAACTTTTTCCAATTACCTTGTCCCATATATGTTCTTTATAAATGGCCTAAACTTTTCTGAAAGGAAATATATTAGTAGATGACAATATTTTAAGCAGATAGGTATTAGTCAGTCTAATAGGAAGCAGAAAATAGTGTTTTCAGTCTACAAGGTTCCCTTTAGGTGTTAGAAAGACTGCGTCTGGTTTCTTGTATTCAGTTTGGGAAAGAATATTGGAAATATGGTGCTGAGTTGTGGGATCAATTGCAGAACTTCCTGTAGGAAGCAAGTTCAGAGGGAGGAGCAGTGGGAGGTTCCGGCACACCTGCTGAGCATTCTGCAGACACTCTGTACAGCAGCAGTGACCTCAGCTAGCTGAACGCTGGACCAGAACAGGAGATTCTTCCAAAAATCACTGAGCTCTAGACCTTTCCATAACCTTCTTCAAGGTCAGTTACAAAGGAAATATGTTAGGGTACCATGGAAAAATAAACATCAGTTTTGAACTCAACAGGCACAAGCAAAAAACTGTGATTATGGAAGAGCTGAAAGCAAATAGTGTCAGGCAGGAAGAGTAGAGTTAAAGTAAGTAGCAGCCAGTGTCACCAATGTCAAAACTTTGGTAGCTTATGTAGTTTGAAATTGAGCAGTGCATTCACTTTAGGTAGGTATGTGAAACCTGATGTAACCCAAATATATTTTTTATTTTCACTTCTGAATATGCTTCCTACCAGCAGTGAATGTCAAGGTTTACTGGAAGTGGTACACAATGTGTGGCTCAGCACAGCATAAATTTGCTAACATTCACACACAGTCTAATGTTAATCGATTTTGTTCATTTAACACAGTCCAGATTTTTACATTCTCACATTAAATATTAGAAGTGTGGTGATTGACAGCTCAAGTGATTTTTAGTGCATTTCTAGCAGGAACAGCTGCAGAACTTCAACCTTAAATCTTTGCTATAGCTGCAAAGAGGCATTGTGTTGCTTACAAACATCAGTAGAAAGCAGTCCTGTTGATGAAGGCTTTTTAGTACATGGATTCAATTTTTGTTTTGTTTTTACATAGCGCTTAAAATATAACTGAGCATGTTTGATTATATGATTATGCCCATGCAGACAGCCTGAACAGATGCATTTTAACTATTTAACAATTATATATTTGCACTTTTCCATTGCTGAGTGATACATTTCCTACCTAGTTTTTGTCTGTCTTTTAAAACAGGTGTTATCAACATAGGGGCTACAGATAGTCTGAGCAACTGGCACTGAGACAGCTTTTAGGTGTTCATGTACTTAGTAATGGTGCTCAAAGAAACTGAGCCATTTTTCAAGCATTTACGTAGTCATTATCATTAGACTATTAATTTAAGGTCCCTTAAAACTTTTATGGATTACTGACGTTAGAATTGGGGGTTAATTTAAAATTTATCTATTTTATTTGTAAGGCAGAGTTACAAACAGAGAAGGAAAAACACAGAGAGACATTCCATCCACTGTCTTACTTCTTAAATAGTAGTGACAGCCCGAGGTGGTACAGTCCAAAGCCAAGAGCCAGGAGCTTCTTCTGGGTCTCCTACCCAGAACATGGTACATGGGCCCAAGGACTTGGGTCTTCCTTTGCTACTTCCCCAAACACATTAGCAGTTAGCTGGATTGGAAGCAGAACAGCTGACTCAAATCAGTGCCTATATGGGATGCCAGGACCAAGTGGGACTGAACTTACTATGCTGTGGTGCCAACCTAGGGTATTTTTTAAATATGAAAAATTCTAGGTTTCTTTACGGTAGGAAATGAAGGTTCCTTTAGAGGTACAGCATTTGAGATGCACCAAAATATGCTTTGGGATTAGAGCTCTGGATTTAAATCAATAGCCAAGTGATCTGGGTATACTTAAAATTATGTATTTGAAAAAATATGTAATACATACATATACACTTATGTAGATAGATATATAGAGAGAAATGGAGAGGGTGGTGGGGAACGTATTTCCCATCCACTAGTTCATGCCCCAATTGCCAGGAACCAGCAGCCCACGTTCAAACAGCTCAACATGAGTCACCCCTGGAAGGGGCTGGAGCCCAATAGCCTGAGCCATCACTTGGTAGCTCCCAGAGTATGTGTTAGGAGGAAAAAGAATGGGAAGTATGGCTGTGACTCTCGCTCAGGCTGTGTTATGTGATGTAGGCATCTGAATTAGTAGCTTAACTCACAAATCCAAATAGCTTTTACTGGATGCTTTTTTGGAGGGCTTTATTATTGTTACAGTTTTTGTTTATTTTTTATTTTATTTTAAATGTAGAGAGATAGCTGAAGAGAGATCTCCAGCTTTGTAGTTTACTTCCCATGTGTCTAGAACAGCTGAGCTTGGGCCATGGGTGAAGTTAGGAGCCAGGAATTCAACCTAAGTCCCCCAAAGAGGTGACACAGGTCCAGATACTTGAGCCGTTACCTGCTGTCTCCCAGGATGTGCTAGTTTTGTGACAATCACTGGATGGAGCCTTTGTCAAGGACTCTTGATGAAAGTGTTCAGGACCTCCAAGAACACAGTGAATTCTCAGCAAAGATTTAGAAAGTGAACAGAAGCCTACGCAGACTGATTAGACAACATTAACACTGAAGAGAAGGGAATGGACAGTTTTTATTATTATTATTATTATTTTCTCAGATTCTAGATTTCTTTAAAATACAAAGTCTGTTTTATAAATGATATGTACTCTAGCCAATATTGTTGCAGAATTGAGAAGACAGATATCTTTTATTCTTTATTCTTCAAGCTTGAATATGGATTTCAAATGTTGAAACAGCTCAGAGGCAAGTAATTCTGCCAATGATGGTTACAGTCAACTCTAAGAAACAAGAGTGTCCCAAAGGCCTGGCATTTCCTTGTGGAGGAAAGGTGACATCAGACCCTGGGCTCAACCATACAGTTGAGAGCTACAGAACTGGCAGATGCTCAAGGTCAAGTGAGGTGGATACCAGATGACATATGTTACATTTTGGATTTTAAGGTTTTCAGGGATCTTCAAATTAAACCTTGTAATACCCGACATTGTTGGAGCACACTGAAAACTAGAAAATAAAAGTTATTACTTTGAAATAAGCAATGAAATGTGAATTTTAGGACACCAAAAACATATTCAAAAGATTTTTCAGTCACCTCTTTGTTCTCTTCTAAAAGAGATATTGCACAACTTTAGGTATTAACATTAGTTTTAATGCCTCAATTATGAGAAGTTTTTAGTTTAGGCTCCTGAGCATGAGTAACCTCTTTTTTTTTCTTGTTGTTTTAATTGGAAAAGCAGATTTACAGAAAGAGAAAGATCTTCCATCCACTAGTTTACTCTCCAAGTAGCCACAGTGGCTGGATCTGAGCCAATCTGAAGCCAGGAGCTTTTTTTGGGTACTCCCATGTGGGTGCAGGATCCCAAGGCTGCTTTCCCAGGCCACAGGCAGGGAGCTGGATGGGAAGTGGAACAGCTGGGACACAAACTAGCACTCATATGGGATCTCTTGTTTGGAGGTGGCAAATTGAGTCACCGCGTGGGCAGAAAAATTTATCTTTTATAGAAATATATTGAAATGTTCTGAAATATTTGAAATTGTGAAAAATGCATGATGTCTAGGTATGCTTCCTATTAACATTGGAATGGAGTGGCAGTGTGCTTTTCTCTACCTGGCAATTTTAACTTTCATTTTTCTTGTGAATGGATTCAAATACTTTATATGTATCCTGGGTCCTCCCTCAATGCTGTGAGAGCTGTGCAAGATCATCCAACCCCAGCTGAGCTGGCCTTATTGAGAGCAGTCCAGTTGGCCTGGAGAATTACAAGAAATTGCATATGCTTGTTACTTGAAGACACTAAATCTTTGTGTGACATGTTATACAGTAACTATGAATGAATACAAACTAATATTCTATCTTCAAAGTGGTTTTCTTGGGCTGCCTTAAACTCAGGCCTTAAAAACAGTCTGTTCACTTGTTCTGCTTTGTTTCCATCACTGTTGAAAAGTTTAATCTTGATTTATTTCTTTAGTTGCTTATACATCACATTACCAAACAGGACAGAAAATCTACAAAAACAGAACCTGATGTGACTTGCACCTTGTAGTATTTCCAGGCACTTGAGCACCAATTCCCAAATTGCTAAATATTTGTTTGATAAATGTCAGCCTTAATAACAGGTGCCATATTCAAATCACTTGTGTTGAACAAGATGAAGTCTAAGTGTGTAATTTAAAAATAACAAATCATCCTGATAACCAGTAAAACTTGCACTCAGATTTTATTGTTAACACGATTGTGATTTGTCCTTTTATTGAAACTTTATAAATAAATCTGTTAAAAGTAGGGAACGGTGCACCAGTGCATGATCCTCAGAATTTTAAGCTAGAGATCTGATGATTAATTCTTGAAAGAGTTGTGATCTCATTACAAATGCCGCCTGGGAGAATATTGAAATCCGTTTGTATGTTTTATAAAATCTTGCCACTAGGTGGCAAGACTGATTATTACTCTTTTTTTTTTTTAAAGATTTATTTTTATTATTTTTTCATTGGAAAGGCGGATATACAGAGAGGAAGATCTTCCGTCCGATGATTCACTCCCCAAGTGAGCACAACTGGCCGATACTATGCCGATCCGAAGCCAGGAGCCTCTTCCGGGTCTCCCACGCGGGTGCAGGTTCCCAAAGCTTTGGGCCGTCCTCGACTTCTTTCCCAGGCCACAGGCAGGGAGCTGGAAGGGAAGCGGGGCTGCCAGGATTAGAACCGGCGCCCATATGGGATCCCGGGGGTGCAAGGCGAGGACCTTTAACCACTTGTGCCACCGCGCCAGGCCCCTTTTTTTTTTTTAAATAACATCGTTTTATGTGATAGTTTTATAGGTGCTTGGATTTCCCCCTACCCCCCCCCCACCCCCCCCCCCCCCCCCCATGGTGCATAACCACAGTTCAAGTTCAGTTGAGATTCCTTCATTGCAAGCACATATCCAGCATAGAGTCCAGCATCTTATTGTCCTGATAACATTTAACGGCTTCTTGGGGAGGCCTTCTAGTTTTTGCACTTCCAGTTCATGTTTTTGAATACTTCTTTTATGTTGATTTATTTGCCTGCATTCTTTGTAGAGTTTAAAGCCAATCACTCCTAAAGGCTCACAGGAAAGAATTTGCTTTGACAGCCTTTCTAGTTTTATATTTTGTGACATTGTTTCTGGTTCCAGCTTTAGAAGTCTTAGGTTTGCTGAATCACTAACATTTTGAGTGTAGGAAAGGGCACCTCTCACCCCCACCCTAGTGCTGGGAAATAGCAAAATAGACAAAATTCCTGTTCTGGAGTTTGCATTTCAGAGATGAGAAGGGTAACAAACAAAAGCAGAAACTTAGTGTGTCTATTTCCAATAGGAATACGTGAGGAGGGAACCAAATCCCAGGAGGCGTGGGGAACATGAAAGATCAGAGTTGGTTGGACTAGAATGCCCTAGAATGCCCTACTGAAGTTGGGTTATTGCATAAAGAATGGTGGCAGTTAGGAATGAATCCAGTGGATTTCAATGGAAAGAAATACCCTTGAAAGGCCTTAAAGGTGGAGGCAGGGGAGCAGAAAAAGTACAGAAGTACAAAACCAACAGAAGACCAAATAGTATCACAACTTATATATTGGCTCATAACTTTCATTGATATCTCACATGGCAAAAGGGACAGAGAGCTCTGCGTTGGTCTAACAAGGGCACTAATCCCATTGGTGAGGTTTCTATTTAGGATACAACCTCTTTGCAAAGACCCCATTTCCTAATAGCATAATGTTGTTGGCCAGAATCTCAACATATAAATATTAGTTTTTTCAAAATAGCAGAAACAATCCCCATACTAATTGTAATCCAAGTAGTAGATAAATGTGACTCAACCTAGTCCAGTTGTTGGAAATCTTAATAGTTCTTCTTTTGGTCAACTTTCTTGGAATCTCCCAAATCGAGCCTTTAGCTTACTCTCCATGCTCAAAGTTTATTGTGTTATTTTTCCTGTCCTTTACTTTTCTGTCCCTGTATTCTGTCTCTCCATTTTCTGGCTCCATGTTTAGGCCCTTTTTTCTTAACCCTTTCAAATATTCCACAAGAAAAACCCAGTGGGGTCAATCTGCAAGAGTAACAGAAATTCAGTTGAATCTCCTCAGGGAAGTAACGGACATGGCTGTAACACTGAGGGTTATTCCCTTTCCTTCAGGAGAAAATGCTATTTCCCTGCTCCACCAAATTTAAATTTAAAAAAAGTGGTAAGATTGCGGGCAGAAGATTGCCTTAAGTTTCCATATCAAATCATTAGTAGAGAATACCTTGAATTGCATTTTAATAATTTATCAGCAATTGATCAATCAGCTTTTTCTTTATTGGTAATACTCACCTTTCTGCTTACTGCATGCATGTGACATCTCCCAGTCAGTCAATATTCATGATGGTCTGAGAATGCCCCATTTATAACCAGTAAGTTTCATTTATTAACTGATGGCTAAGTACAGAATAACTAATTGGTATCTACTGATCAAATCAACATTTATTTTGTACTCTTTTTCAGGCAGTGCTCTAGTCTTGGGGACAGAGTGGAGAACATGCAAAATTTGGGGCCTAACAGATGTTATCAGAAATACGCCAGGCAAAACAAAACAGTAAGTGATTTAGTTAAGACCAAAGCCGTGCTTACTCTGCTGGGCACCACATCATTTGAGTGAAAATGCAAATCGAGGCTTAAGAGCAACTAGGAAGGATAAATGACAAATCCCAGAGCTCACATTTTCTTCCTATCATGTTATCTACTGGTATTTCAGGGTGTAAAACCGGATAACATACAGTATCTTCCCTCAGAGAGTTTCCTATTTATTGGAGATGATGAATGCCAAGTACTTCTCAACTTATAAATATCTAACTATTTCTGGAATTTCTGTTGGGAAAAAAAAAATAAAAGGATGTGTTGGACAGAGTTAGCAGTGAGGAATTACCTAACACCAGACCTGGTGCTGGAGGGGGCAGGAAACCTAGGATTTTCAGACTGCGTTCACTGGACAGAATGAATGGGATCAGTAACACTGTACACAGCTGAGATGTTTACCTTGAGTAATAACAGCCCCTCTGCTCAGTTCCTCACTTAGCAGCCTTCTGGATGGTTCTACCCACCGCACCATGGACTTCGCCAGAATTCAAAACTTCCACCGAAAAACAGGATTTTTTCCCTCTACGTTTTCTATTTTGGTCATTGCTGTGATGTGCTGCATGACAAACACTGCTTGGGGGTATTTAATCAAGCACTAAGTAAGCCAGGCATGTTTTTAATTCTTAGGGTAACCTTTCCAAGTGGGTTTGTTCACCTTCACTAACAGCTAAGGAAACGCGAGTTTAAAAGGCCCACTGCAGGCCACACAATCTGAGTTTAAAACTCAGCAGGGGTCTGCCTGACTTAAAAAAAACTCATTGACTCTCAGCCAGTGGTGAACATTTAAGTTCCTTAGAGAATCTTGAAAAAGGAGATTTATTTATTTTTCATCAATGCATATACACAGGTAAAAAGAAATCAAATAACACTGTTAGACTGGTGGTGAGGGAACAACAGATCCCTCTGCCCTGTCCTCCCCACTCTTGATTTCCTTAATCCGGAGCAAATCCTTGCATGCTTCTAGCAGTTACTTTTCAGATTATGTCTATTCTGTTTTTTTTTTTTTCCACCGACTTGCCTATACTAGATTGTCTGTTCGGGCTCCAGGGAACCTGTATAATTACCTGTTTTAATTTTGCAAAATCTGCAGCCCACTAATTTATCCCCAGTCTGTCTGGAAAAAGCAAAATCTCTAGTTTATTTCAAATATAGCTGATATTAAATCATTTATTTTTCTTTTGGATACGTCTCAACAGAACCATTTTAAGATCTTTCTTTTGGCTTCACACCTTCTCCATCACCGATTTTCTTTAATAAATATATATTACTATTTTAGAAAATTTATGGCTACCCTCCAAGTAACATTTCTTCCCCTCTCAACAACCCAGTGTGTGCCAACCTCTTACTTCATAAATGCTACAGCTGATCTGTATCTCTCACCCCGGCTTCCACATGCCCACTTTTAAACAGGTGTTTAAAAAAAAATCAAACCTGAAAACATCTGCATTTACTTTGTAACCACAGTTTAAGCAATCCCTTCAAACAAAAAGTGTGAGGACTATTTTTATGATCGTCCGAATGTTTCCAGAATGTTCATGGAACAGCCTAGTCCCACGAAGCAGGTGGATTTCCTTATCTTTGGCTCAGAGGGCTAGCTTCCTGGGCTGCTCACCGGGACACTCCGAGAACAATCCATCTTCTTATACTCCAGCCTTCAAAATCCCGCAGAAAATCAGCTTTGGTAGTTGGTGCCTCGCCCATACAGTCTTTTTCCTGCTGACAATGTGTGACTGTCATTGTTTTCTCCCTTGGGACGAAGAAACACGTCTTCCACACAGCTTTCACATCTTAGACTTCTTCCAGTAATGTTTATAATCTAGCAGTCCGTCCCCCCCTTTCCCAAGTTCACCTTTCGGTCTTTTTTTCCCCCTTAATATTTTAGCCTTTTTCGGTGCCCTCCGGCAGGTCCTTCAGGGGGGTTGGTCTCGTGGGTGGTCTCAGCGTGCACCTGCGGGGTCGCCGAGATGGCGCCGGACCGGGGCAGCAGGCGTTCCGGCCCTGCCGGGGAGGTGCGCGGGGAGCGCGGCGCCCAGGCGCAGGCCGCAGCCGAGCACCCTGGCCATCCGGCCCGGTTCCCAGCCAGGCGCTAAGCTCGGCCGCAGGGCCCAATCGGCCATCACGGGGCCCACGTCGTCCGGCGAGCGGAATCTCGGCTTTTAAATGTGTACCTGCAAGCGAATGTTGAGGATCACGGATCCCGCGACGTAGAAGTAGGGGAAGTTCATGCGCAGCTGCCAGGCCAGCTCGAAGAAGGCCAGGAGGGTGCGAGAGAGCCCCTTGCAGAAAGCCCCGTACGAGCTGGGCACGGCGGCCGGGCTGGAGGCCCTGACGGCCAGGGAGGACGGAGCCGCCGCGGGGGCCATGGGCTCGGGTCGTCTGCAGCCTAGGGTCACCGGGCGTCCACGGGGCCGCCGCCGTGTCCTCCCGGGCCGCGCTGGGCTGGGCTGCAGCGGGCGCTCCGCCTCTTCCTGTCTTTTCTGCTGCGGATATTTACCGTTAGCGCTTAACCCGTGGTGGACCTGCAGAGGGAAGTGTTATGTAACTACGCTGGAGGAGCCAGTCACAGGGATGTTACCTCACTGCAAAATGCAAACGGAAATAAAACCCCCCGGTTTCCCCTCAAACACAAGACTGGATAGAAACTTTGGTCTGTCTGCTGTGTGCCCTGGGATGTTAGGAATCTTCCTGTTCGATTTCCTAACATTAACTTTGCTGTTAGGACAGAGTGAGTGGTGTTGCATAAGCCAGTACAAGCACAAAGTTTTTATATAAGTAAGACGGATAAAAGTTCATAATGCTATGCCTTGCATTCTCCTGTGTGTAGATTATTAAGAAAAATAAAAGGTGGCACACATGTATACACATAAATACACTTTAAAAAACAGGATTTATATGTAAAGTTATATTCCCACCTTTGTAAGCTCACATGGAAATGTAAATAGTTTACTCATTGTGATTCACCTGTAAAACCTGTGCCTCTGTTCCTATCCACTTCTAAAACTTATTTTTCCCCCTTTTCTTTCTTTCTCTCTTAGAGGCAGATGTAGAGAAGAGAGAGAAATACCTTTCATCTGCTGGTTCACTGCCCAAATGGCCACAAGACCAGAGCTGAGGGGAACTGAAGCCAGGAACCAGGAGCTTTTTCTAGGTCTCCCACATGGGTGCAGGGCCCAAGGCTTTGGGCATTCCTCTACTGCTTTCCTAGGTCACAGGCAGGGAACTGGATGGGAAGTGGAGCATCTGGGACACAACCGGTGCCTATATGGGATCCTGGCGTTTGGGGGAGAGGATTAGCCAGTTAAGCCATTGTGCCCTCTCCCCCCATCCCAACTTCTAAAGCTTTAATATCCTGACAGTAACCTCATCCCATAATCACAATGTTCTTTTATTTAAATGATCCACAATTCATTAACTCATGGCTATTAGTTAATAATTATTTTGCATCATGACTTATTCACATGTGTGATTTCTGATGCTAACATTTACATTACAGTCCAGTTCTGGAAACCCTGGTCAAATAGCCGATATCTCATCCGACTAATACCATTCAAAGCACAATTACTTAATCGTAAATCTGTGGTCCTACATATCGGGTTGACATGACTGATACAAATAATATGTTATAGTGTAAAGCTTAGTTGTATGTCTCCAGATGTGTTGTGTTTTTGCTGCTTTTCTGTACCACTATCAGCCCAGCAGAGAAGCAGCACTCAGAGCCACTAATTATGTCTGTCAGCCTCTAAGATTGGTTCAGAGGGCCTAGGGCGATAGTGTAGTGGTTAAAGTCCTCACCTTGACCGCGCCAGGATTCCATATGATGCCAGTTCTAATCCTTCACCTCTGCTTCCCATCCACCTCCCTGCTTGTGGCCTGGGAAAGCAGTCAAGGACGGCCCAAAGCCTTGGGACCCTGCATCTATGTAGGAGACCTGGAAGGAGCTCCTGGCTTCTCCTGGATTTTCTCAGCTCCTGCCAATCTGGCTTCTTGGGGAGTGAACCACTGGATGGAAGATCTTCCTCTCTGCCTCTCTTCCTTTTTTGTATATCTGCCTTTCCAATAAAAATAAATAAATCTTAAAAAAAGAAAGCTGTTGGTTCAGAGATAGTAGAGCGGTATAAGATGACTGAATCAGAGATGCTGCAGAACTGATGAGAGCTGTTTATTACATGAACCTGACTTTGGAGAGTGGGGTTGGATGGACGTGAATGGCTGTGCTTTTTCCCTTGCTCTTACTCTACGAAGACTAATCCACACTTCCTGTTGTCAGTAGCACTGCTTGAGCCGTTCCCCTGGATGCGTACTTGAATCTTAACTTGACCTTTTCTAGAGACTTCCATTCGCAAGCTCAGATATGTGTGTTCCAATGGAAAAGTTTTGAAGAGTAAATCATTATCTTGTGGAAAATGATCTCTTGGGAGTTTACATACTTGCCCTGTTCCTTTTGTGATTATTGCAAATGGAAACCTGGCTGACTGAAGTAATAAGAATCTTTGGAGCTTTGCACCTTTTAACAGGATTGTTTGACTCAGTACTGGAATCAAGGTAAAACAGAGTGTTTCAGAAAGATTACCTGAAAGTATATCACAAAGGAGAATTTTGATAGTATTTTTTTTGAAATACAATGAAATACATGTGGAGTGTCATGAATAGCTGTCACTCTGCAGATGTTTGTAAAGCTCCGCAATGGCCAGAGCTGAGCAGATCTGAAGCCAGGAGCCAGGACATCTCCCAGGTCTCCTACATAGATACAGGGTCCCAAGGCTTTGGGCCATCCTCAACTGCTTTCCCAGGCCACAAGCAGGGAGCTGGATGGGAAGCAGGGCCCTGGGATCCCAGCGTGCATACCAGGTAAAGGCTTTATCCACTAGGCTACCATACCTGGCCCCAAACAATGGAGTTTTAACATTATTAAACATTATTTAACATTATTAAATATTCCTGAAGGCAAATCTTTCTGTATCTGTTGTTTTGCTTGTTACCTATCCTGTCCAGTGCAGTAGAAACGCTGTGACAACTGAGATCATGTCTGTCTTGCTCACTATTGAATGCCAGGCAGGAACATCGACACGGAATACTTGCTCAGAAGATGGTACCTGAGTCCCATGAGAATGAGCTATGCTCGGCCTGGTAAAGTGAGTACAGTGATGTAGCATTTGGGCTCTGCTCTACTTAACCACAGGCACTGCAGTGCTGTGCCGGTCTCATAGTTGAAGGGAGGACTGCCGAGCTGCCGATTTTACCCCTCAGCAGTAGATGATGACCAGAATGATCAGATGTGAGAAACACTGTTTGACTCATTTGTGTTGGAATACCTCATTTGTTTGTTACTGATACACAACCCAAACTGGACACTCTTCAGTGGCTTCACCTGGTGTGAGACCTTGCTTAAAATATTTCCCTCTTGCTTAAGGTAGTTGGTTCCTTTCAGCTCTCTTTCTTTCTCTATCTGGCTTAAGCAGAGAATAGAGTGATTCCTGTGCTTTGCATATGATTTTGTTCTTATTTTGACTTATTAAAGTTATTTATTTGACAGGCAGAGTTATAGAGAAACAGAGACAAAGAGGCCTTTCATCGCTGGTTCATTTCCCAGGTAGTCACAGTAGCCAGTGCTGGACCAGGCCAAAGTCAAAATCCAGTAGTTTCATCTAGATATCCCACATAGCTGGCAGGGTCCTAGCACGCAGGCCATATACATATCTTTTCTAGGTGTGTTTGCAGGGAACTGAACCAAGAGTTTAGCAGGCAGACACTCAAACCAGAGCCTTTGTGAGATCTTGGTATCACAGGTGACAGCTAAACCAGCTGCATAACAACAGCCCCTATGTCAATTAGGGAAAGTGGGATACTTTGAGTGAGTTGTTGATGGATGCCAAGAGATTACCTAGGAGACACCCGATTTGGCATTTAAATCTAAAACTGTCTATATCAAAAACCTTACTCTTTTCATGTCATCTCTTTCTTATATGCTCAGTCTCTTTGCTTAATATTACCAATGACCATGGAAATACTGATAAAAGCTACAATGAGGGGCCGACACCATGGCACAGCAAATTAAACGTCTACCTGTGATGCCAGCTTCCCATATGGGCACTAGTTCCAGTCTTGGTTTTTCCAAGTCCAATCCAGTGCCCTGCTAATGGATTAGGAGAGCAGTGGAGGATGGCCCAAGACCTGGAAGAAACTCTTGGCGCCTGGCTTTGGAACAGCTCAGCTTCAGCTTTGGTCACTATGCCCATTGAGGTGTGAAGTAGAATATGGAAAATTCCTGTCTCCTCTTCTCTCTCTGTAACTGCCTTTCAATAAACAATTTGCTAAACACCTAAACATAAGAAATGTCTTGGGGAAATAATTATATTGAGCTGAAGAACCTGAGTGGGAACAAAAGACTGTTTAATTTGGATGATCTCTGAAGCTCATCTTCTGCTTTGATGAAAATTCCATCAGTTCATGAGAAATACTTGTAGGTGTGTTTTTACATGTTTGTGTGTGTGTGTGTGTGTGCAAGTGACTATTTTGAAGCTTTGAACAATGAAGCTCTTCTATCAAAATGTTAGTGATCAGTAGCTAGATTTTTTAGGGAATGCTAGTTTCCCTAGAGTTCCCACAAAAGTAAGTCATTTTATAAGAAAGCTCTAGATTTTTTTTTTCAACTCAAATCCAGAATTGGAAAAAGAAAAAAAAATCATAGTAGTGATGCTTTTACTTATGATAAACTCCATCTAGTAGTTTATGCCTTCATGGTATATTCCTTTGAACTAGATAAAACTTGAATTTGCTGAATACAAATTACAGGGAAACTAAAAAAGGAAAACATTGCAAAACACTGAAAGAGAATATGTCTTTATTTGCATGTTAGCCAATGAGAATTTGGATTTCTTGTCAATGTCAGCTATGAAATCTGTTTCACCCTGTGAGCAAAACACATTGTATATGAACAAAAATTAAGCTGAAGGATTTTGGAAACAATAATGTCTTCTATGGAGTAAGCATTGAACTCATCCATTATCATTATTCTTTGATGATGCACCTACACAAGGCTAATGTCAGCTCATAAATAAAAGCGTATGCATGAATAAATGTCTAACAAAAACATAGACAGGTGTCCTCAATGGCCAGAGCTGAGCCAATCTAAATTCAGGAGCCAGGAGCTTCTTCTAGGTCTCCCGTGCAGGTGCAGGGTTCCAAGGTTCTGGCAATTCTTTACTGCCAAGACCTGAATTGGTGTCCAAATGGGATCCCAGTGTGTGCAAGGTGAGGATTTAGCCCCTGAGCCATTGCACTGGCCCTAAGCAGTTTTCTTGTTAAAGGCTTTGTTATGTATTTCATATACTAGCTTGAATTGTCAGTGCATCTGAGAAAATCATTGGCATTTCTCCAGCAATTCTGGATTTGTATAACATGGTGTGCTAAGATTTCATTCCTTGAGGCTTTGATGTTTTCTGTG